TACAAAATATTTGATCCTTGTTAAGGCGATGTTTGAAGTAACAAGAAGAACAACAAAATACCCTGGGGCACAAGCTTCAGTGTTCCCTCACGGGAGAATAGGCTAGGTGCCTAACAAGTAACCTGTGGCACGTGAGTGCCATGAAATATTATGCAGCAGATAAAAATAGATGCACTATTTAGAACTGGAGCCATACTCGTGATAGACTGATAAGTGAGCAATGAGGATACTTTATTACCTTTTTCTAAATAAAATAAGCAACAAAAAATGTGTACATATGTTCTTTCTGTAATTGTAAGAGTATAAAGAACTGTTGAGGATTACTATTTATCTGATAACTAGTCCTCAGTTCATATCCCTTTTGTTTTCATTCATTCATTTAACAAACGCTTGGTGAGTGTCTATTACACGCCAAAGATGCTGATACTGACAGGACATCAATCACATGCAGACCCATTGCCAGGTGTTAAGGATGCAGTGCCTGGCAGAAGGGGTCCCTGCCCCCACACATAGGGAAGAGACAGTCAATAAACAATTATCCCAACAAAATGATCAAGGTATTCAACATGCTACAAAGGAAACAGCACAAGATGCTATCTTAGAGAGAAGGACTCTCTGAGGAAGTGACATTGAAGCTGATCTGAAAAACGTGAAGACAGCCACCTAACAAATTCAGGGAACAGCATCTCAGAAAGAGGGAACAGCATGTTCAAGGGTCTTGAACTGGGAGAGATTTTGGAATGTCCCAGGAAAAGAGAGAAGGCCAGTGTAACTGATGATGTCCATGCAGATTTCTAGATAAACTTTTCTATTTCAAATGGAATTTCCATTATGAATGCATGTCTCCAAAGTTTTAAATTTCAAAGTGATTATGAAACACAATTGCTTTCTCTTGGATTCTTCATAATGATGCCAAAAATATTTCTTTTCAATATCTGCCTAGCTTGGACTTGCTAGCTAGCTTTCTTTCCTTTGACCTGGGATACATCCACTGGTTTGATGATACTTCACCTCTTTCTTTTCCCCTATCTGAATAAGAATCATTAATGGTTTTCTACATTTGCTTTCAGAAAATCAACACCGCTTTCTTTCTTCACCAGACCACCCCCTTGGACACAGATTGGTCCAACAGGCCATGGGGTATCAGACTCTTATTGCCATGAGAGCTTTGAGAGCTTATGAGATCTCTCTCCACTTTATAGGGGAGTAGTCAGAGCCCCACAGAGAAGAACCTGTTTTGCCGCACTGGGGTGGGGACATCCACCCAGCATCTGCTTTCTTACCTGCTGTTCTTCCTGCTGCCCGAAGTTTCACCTTGCTATGAAAATTACATGACCATTTAAAATATGAATCATGTCGGAGGCACCATGAAAGTAAGATTCATTGCTCTCCAAGGCTGATGGTAGCCCCTTAGTAGGAGCCAGAATCAGCACCTGGAAAGTGCTGGCTACCAGCAGATCCTTAACCAATGCTTGAAACATAAATACATGAATACCCATTGAAATGTCAGCTCCTTGGAGAATCCTTCCCAAAGCTCCATTTGAAGGAACCTCTCTTGCTACCCTCTCTCACCTCTGTTGAGATTTACTTTTTTGCATACCTCCAGTTCTGGATGGGAAAAAAAATAACATATAAGCATTTAAGAGAATGAGACACATGAAAACTTTCTGCCCAGTGTCAGAGCCTGGCTGTCTGGTTATCTGCTTAATAGAGGACATGGAACTGCAGGATTCAGCTTCCTCTTAGAATACCTAGAGGCTGGACTTTTAATCAGGAACATAAAGGCAATTTGCCCTGCCAGGATCAATAGATATCAAAGAATTATTTCTGCAGTCTTGAATCTTGTGAGCCTGACCCAATCAAGGGCAAAGTGCATGCTGCACAATTCTGTTCTCCGCGAGGAACTCTGGACCCAGCGCCCTACGAGTCTAACCCGTGTTGCATCGAATTGATTACACTTCACTGGAGCACGCAGAATAAAACTGCCAAAGTATACTTCCCTGAAGTGTCCGATAAAAGAAATAACTTAGAGATAATGCCAAAGACATATAAATTACAACTCAGAACTAGGAGACTTGCAAGATAGACATAAACACGAGAGGACATCTGAATCTATCTCAGCGTGTTCATTCAGCTTATCTCTGTGCAAACTCATCTACCCACAGCACTTGCAAGAATACGGACATATAAAGTTCCCATTCCGATACACACCTGGGATAGCGGGGTTTTGCTAGCACAGTTGATCCCACCAATAAAAACTATGTTGGGCATGATGGGCCTCGGGAAATCAAACACAAAGTCTTTTCTGAGAAGCCAGATAGACCCAGATTTCAGAAGGTCCTGGACAGTCACGTCTTTCTGAAGGACTTCCGAGGCAAGAGATGCATATGGGGAATAAACCACACTGCACAGAAAGTTCTCTGACAAGGCAACGAGCATGTTCTTCACCCGCTGCAGGAAGGTCATGTGATCTGGGTTAGAGGACAGAGGCCTGGGCACATAGGACGGTGGATTTGGGCACTGGGTACCCAGAGAGTCCAGGCTGCAGGGCAGTCCATTCAGGAAGAACACGGCAGGTAAAGCCAAGTACTGGGCCACGATGGGGCCGCAGGGAAGGAAAGGATCTGTCAACACGGCATCAAAGTTGCTTGCCGCCAGGAAGGCCATCAGCTCCTTGTTGTGCAGTAGGTGGGAGCAGGCAGACAAGAGCAGAGCGGAATCCTCTTTGACTTTCTGGTACATTTTGATCACACGCTGCAGGAAAGGATCATTCTCAAAAACATTACGCCCGAGTGTGATGAAAATCTTTTCCAGTTCCTCCCTCTGGAATGGCACAGGGTACTTCCTCAAGGTGTAAGATGCTCCTTCTTTAATGTGCGTGGAGGCATCAGGTGCTATGACCACTATGTCATGTCCCCTCTGCTGCAGCTCCCGGATGACACTGACCAAGCTCAGCCAATGACTGCCATCTACTGGGACCACCAGCAGCTTCCCGCCCTGGGACATGGTGGGGCCAAGCGCCCACAGCAGCAGTCCCAGGACAAGCGGACGTGGACCCCAGGATCCCGTTGTCATGGTGCCCCTGCTGTTCCTACCAAAACTGTCATCTGCCGGAGGTTTGCCCTCTCCCGCTTACACAACGCAAGAGCCAAACTGTACACCAAGTTAATGTTTCATTAGGCCACATGATTATAGCTGACAGTCAGCCAGAGGCAGTCGGAAGTTTACATTTAGAGATAAAGAGGGCTGAACTTTATTAGGTCTCTCATAGGCAACAATAGTTTAACTGGCTAGAATTCCTTCTCAGCTACTCAAATTACATTCTTTCTTTTTCAGTTAAACTATAGGTGGTTTACAATATTGTGTTAGTTTCAGGTGTACAGCAAACTGATTCAGTTTTACATATATACATATTCTTTTTCAGACTCTTTTCCATTATAGATAATTAAAGATATTGAATGTAGTTTCCTCTCCTCTATAGTAGGTCCTTGTTGTTTATCTATTTTAAATATAGTGATGTGTATCTGTTAATCCCAAACTCCTAGTTTATCCTTTCCCCCTTTTCCCCTTTGGTAACCATAAATTCATTTTCTATGTCTGTGAGTCTGTGTTTTATAAAAAAATTTCTTTTGTATCATACTTTAGATTCTACTTATAAGTGATATCATATAATATTTATCTTTCTCTGTCTGACTTCACTCAGAATGATTATCTCTAGGTCCCTCCGTGTTGCTGCAAATGGCATTATTTCATTCTTTCTTATGGTGGAATAGTATTCCTCAATATACCACATCATCTTTATCCATCCATCTGTTGATGGACATTTTGATTGCTTCCTTGTCTTGGCTACTGTAAATAGTGCTGCTATGAACATTGGGGTTCATGTATCTTTTCAAATTAGAGTTTTCATCTTTTCCAGATTTATGCCCAGGAGTGGGATTGCTGGATCATATGGCAACTCTATTTTTAGTTTTTTAAGGAAACTCTACACTGTTTTCCATAGTGGCTGCACCAATTTACGTTCCCACCAACAGTGTAGGAGGATTCCCTTTTCTTCACACCCTCTCCACATTTATAATTTGTAGACTTTTTGATGACAGCCATTCTG